GAAGAGAGAAAGGACTGTGCTGCAGAGAAAGGAGAAGAGCCCCAGCAGAGAGGGAAGAACAACGCTGCAGCCAAACAGAGAGAGAGAGAAGGTATGGAATCCCCTGGACAGCCGAGAGCTGTGACAGCCTGAGAGCTGGGACTTTACGTGTATGGCAGCCAGAGAGCAAAGATTACAACACATAGAAAAAGTATCTCTGGAGAAGGATGGAAGAGCACAGAGAAAGGTAAGCGCTGCTCCGTCACAGGTGTATTTTCAGGAATGCAGTGCTGGAGTTTATGTTAAAATATAGAATCATCTTAGGTGCTGGTATGTTTTCTTCCAAGATGAGATCAAGCCTCTGAGTTCCCAGTTTTCACTAGGAAAAAATAACTCCCTGAGGAACAGCTGAGCTGAAGAACAAAAGAAGAGATGAGGAACAAAAGAAAATGGTCACATTTAAAGGATGTGACAATGTTAGAGAGTCAGAACTCCCAATTCTCCTCTGCTTACTTTACTACTAGGAATAATGTGATTTGGTTTAAAGGGGCTTGGTGATAAAATCAAACACACTGTCAGTCAAAGCGTCTGACACACCTGCACAGCGAATCTGCTTCATATTGAGAAATGCTTATGCTATTCTTCCTTGAGGAAAGGGAAGGCTGGAACAACTAAATACATTTAAAGGATAATAATGCCGATGAGAAGAATTTAAATTCCAATTTGCATTGGAATTTAAATACGAGAGGAAGAGGGCTCAAAGTCATTAAATAGGTTTTACAAGACTGCAAAATATAATGCAAATAAAGCTATAAATAAAATGAAATGGAATGTAGCAAAAGTAGAAGCATCTTAGATCTAACATTCTTGCTGCACACTTTGAGACTGTTGCACTTCCAAAACTCTTTTGGGGCTGGATTTTGTGCAGAAGGTAAGAAAAGGCAACCTTACGGATGCAAGGCTCAGCTCTGAGCTTTGCAGGTTGAAAATGGAAGTACAAAACTCGAGGTTGCTTGGTTTTGGAAAATGTGCTGCTTCTCAGAGGGTGCTGGCTGGAGATGAGGAAGCTGCCGCTCTTCACGCCGTTAGTGGGAAATGTCATAATAGTAGTTACGTAACCTCATCTCCACTGCAACAAATCCTGGTCGGTCGTCAACGCTGTGGGAAGATGACAAGTGTCACTGCGCAGGAGGGACAGAGCTGTCAAGGTTCATGGGCCTTACAGCCCTCGAGACTCTACCTCAGTGACAGCTCACTTAAAGATGCTCACAGTATATTAAGGCTACAAAAATGACTCTACAAAATTAATACCAAGTGACAAATACTACTACAGAGCATCCTGTCAGTGGGTTTACTATCATACCTGTTTATGGTTGATGAAGACACTAGAAGAAAGAAATGGTAAATCAGCTCCATTTTCTACTTCATTTACTTTAGTAATAATCTGGAGAAAAGAATATTTGCTGTGCAATATCTGCCTTTTAATGGGTAGTACCATCACACAGAGTGGTTAGAAGCACTGAGAGGAGCCTATCCACACATCATATGACTGTACCATCTTTCTTTTATATCTGCAATTGTTTCTTTATTTGGAGAACACAAACTGACAACGAGCCCTTAAAATTTTACATTACATATTGAGATAGTTACTCTGCCTGACCTGAACTTTCTTTTTAAAATGTATTTTCTTTCTAATAATAAAGATATTTTAGTATAAAACCAAAATCAGTATGCTTTATGATATGTTTGTTACTAAAAACAAAACCTGATCCCTTTCACTGTAGACCTGCTATAGCATTCCTTGAGTCAAACCAAAAGGTAGGAATTACTTTTTGGTTGCACGTTCTTTTTAGAGTACTGGGTTTAATAAAGCTAACATGAAGCAAAGTACCTAAAATGAAGTACCACAGCACCTTAACATAGAACTTTTGGACAAACCTATTCTCCTGATGATGACCTGAAAGAATAAGTCATGTTAGAGTAATTTTGGGTTCTTTCTACAGTTATAAGTAACTTCAGCAGAATAGCTTAAAACAATAAATCATGAAAGAGTTTTAATATATTTTTGCAACATACTAATTTAAAAAATCAGGTAGGCTTTATTTTTTTTTCTGTATTTCATAGTTCTAATTTCTAAATTGTTATGAAACAGAAAAAAATGTTTCTGACATATCAGAAAAGATGGTTTGCCTCTCACTGATAAGAAGTCAGTGTGGTATCCAATTTGAATATATTCCATTATTAGAGAAAAGATAAATAGCTCAAAAAAATAAATATTGAGAAATAGAACAAATATTTTGGCAATATGACTTTGAAATTTCAGTAAAACTAAACCCTTGGAAATTCAAATTAAATCAATCCAATTCAAAATGAAACAAAAACATTTGCATACTTTCAAATATTCTTTTCAAAATGCATTAGACTGACATCTTTGTGTCATTATTTTTTATGATACCATGTATTTTATATATACATATATAAGTTATGTTCTGGCAAACTCTGTTCTACAAAATTGGCTTTTTGTAGTACACTCTGTAATTTAGATAATTTTCACCTGAAAGTGCAATTCACTTCTGACCTTGGAGTATGGTTGTGAAAAGATGCATTTTGAAGTAACCCCTACTCACCCTCTTTCTAGCTATTAATCATGTATATTAAAATGTGCTTCTATCAAAAGAGCATCCCAGCACACTCACTTGTATGTCCAACACAATTTCATTAGACTATAGACCTCTGTTGGGCAGACTTCAGGACGTTCCATTCGTTCTCCTCTTTCAATCATCTGTGCAACTTCTCCACCTTTCATTCCCTGGAACAGGGTGACCAGAACAGTCATCCAAGTTGCAAATTATTACAGCACACATGACAGCATAAATCAAACACAGGACTGGAACTGGTTTTGGGCTATCCTTTGACTCACTTCTTGCAGCAAGTCCCTTTAGTTAGGAAAAAATATTGGTTCAAATTTGTTATGAATTTTTAAAGAAAAAACATGACCAAATAAAACCACTCACCTTATATGGTTTTTGTCCATAAGAGAAAGCTTCCCACATTAAAACCCCAAAGCTCCAGACATCACTTTTGCTAGAAAATTTGTAGAAATTCATGCATTCTGGAGCATACCATTTGACTGGCCATTTTCCATGACTTTGTGCCTAAAATATGTCATAACAGAAAGGAAAAAAAGCAGACTAGATTAACTGATAAGCAGTAAACAACATCTGAATGCACATAATTAACATTAACTTAGGTCTACACACATTTATACTAAGTACCATAACATTTCCGATGCAGTTAGCATTAGAGAAAATGGGTAACAGTTTCTTTGAAAGTGTTACAAAATTGTTCTAATCTTCCACTTTCAAAATAAAGTATTGAAATGAAATCCATGGTAAAAAAAAGTGTAGCTAAATGACTTTGAGTCATGCTTTTAGCAGCATTTAATTTAAAGTTGCTCTTTAGAATATTTTTTTCCATTTGGATCTCACAAAGGCTAAGAGACATGTCCAGATGGTTGAAGAGGTTGCTCTTATTTCAAAGCACAGTGACTTGTGGCAAACTGCAGTTTACCTAAATGATGCCATAATACTGCTTTATGAACATTCAAGTGTCAAGCTATACCAGCACAGTGCTAGATCTAGTGACGGGGCCCTACTGCATCCTGTGGAGTTGTAAAGAAAATGGACTTTGATATTAATTCTTGAGGCCCTGAGACTGGGATTGAGAAGCTAGGCTAGGCTAGTGGCAGAGATTTAAGATGCCTTTTCTGCCACCAGTGACTACTGTTCCTACACAGGAAGGTCTACACAAGGGAGTATGGGCTTGCTTTTCCTCTGCAGTGCTTCAGGGGTTGGATTATTAGTTTCAAAGAGCTGATGAAAGGGAATAAGCAGAAGGAAGAAGTAATTTGAATCGTAAGAGTGTATATCAGGAAAGCAAATATACACATGGTAACAGTCTTTGTCTCCCACCTTCTACCTTACTAAATGTTGCAATTATTTTAATCACTTGAGCTGTACTGAGGTCCAAAGAATTTAAAACCAAGATAAACAAATTTTGCTTAGGTTAATTTATTATTTAACAATGGTATTCTTTCAAAAACTTCCCCTAATTATGTTATATAAGGCAGTGTATTAGTGGTAGCATACATTTTACTTGGACATAATGGAAACTGTTTCTCAACAAACACACTTCCCCCACTTATATAAGGTAGTATCTAATTTCCACAATAACTTGAAATCTTCTAATGACAAGTTTATCAAAAGGAAATGAAAGTAGACAAGTAAATGGAAGGACAAGCTGTTTCTTCTCTACATGTCTTAATGTTGATCACAAAATTTGAATTTGGTAATCTAATATTAGGTCTTACAATAATGAGTGATATATAATATTTCTCATTTTCAACTGCATTTCAACTGAAAATATCCTTATTAAGCTATGATACTACACAGTTTTCATGTTGTGTTCAGACCTTACCTTGTAATAATTTTCATCAGCACTAAGAGCTTTAGAAAGTCCAAAGTCACTAATTTTGGCATAATGTTGGGTGACTAAGAGCACATTTCTTGCAGCCAGATCCCTATGAACAAAATTATTCTCCTCCAGGTATTTCATCCCCATGGAAACCTGATGCACCAGCTCTGTTATATTCTTCTCTGTGACATGTCTGAAAATCACAATTGAATTTTAAAGAGGTCAGTAGTTCATTTTCATGACTTTTCATGGAGTTTAGATACAAATCTTTACTCTAAAGTTGTCCACATTACACTGGGAACCTGATTCACTTACATTTAGCTAAGCTTCAAATTGAAAAGGCAATCTAAGTTGTTATCCTGAGCAAGATGATGTGTGATCACATTAATAATGGAGAAGTTGGATATATGAAGGAGATACAGAGGAGAGGAAGGATATATGAAAGTCTTTCATTTATTCAAAATACTCTATTTTGGCAGAAGTATTTGACAGTTTGGAAACATGTTCTAGTGAAGAATAACTAAAATAATTAATTATTACATTAACAACATATCAATTTTAATTGTCCTTAAAGAAAAAAAATAAAAGAAAGGAATTTTTCCATGCCTATGGAATGGAATCAAAGTTTACGAACCTATTTTTTTGCAAAAATTTGTTCAATGGCCCAAGTTCAGCCATTTCCATTACTAACATCCAGGCCTCAGCTTCACATATACCTATCATTCGGACAATATATGGGTTATCCAGTTGCTGCATTACATTTGCTTCTCTCAGTAACTCATCCTTTATGGCTGGATCATTACTCTCATTCTTCAGAATTTTTACAGCGACAGGCTTGGCACCCCTGCAAAAGAGAATCCAGTTCTGAGACTAGCTGCTGAAAAATATGTGCACCAATGCACACAATCTTCATCAGATATTTCCATTCACATGGTACAAATTGTGACAAAAGACAGAATTAACACTCAGAGGAAAAAAATCCAGCCATAACAGGAACACCTCTCTATCAAATGCTCAGAAGACAGCTAAGCAAAAGAGCAAGAATGAAAAGAACCTCAGAAAATTACAGATTGTCATAACAATGCCTAAAGAAGCCTGAAAAAAAAACCACTGGACAAATTTTTCTTGTCCACTCTGGTAAGATGGCATAAAGCTTTTCTGGCAAGAAAAGCTATAAAGAGTTTTCTAAGCACTGGGGCATTTTGGGGTGGAGACTGGAACATGCATCACTGCCAGTTGCCAAGGCAGGGTTCTGAAACCCTGAGAATCTAAGCCTACTTCTGCAACATTCCATTCATACAGCAAACTGACAGAGTGACTGATGAAATCAACATAGCTTGTGTGAAACATGATTAAAATATACACAAGCTGAGATCAGAGCCCTTCAAATTCCTACATCCGACATTAGAAAAATAGAAATCCTTTCTGCCTCTGAAAATCTCAGTATAAAGAAATGCCTCCAACTTCAAGAGATGAGAGTGTGTACATAATCAGCCCATGCACATAAACAGCATACTGATAACATTTTACTATGAAAATACGTGAAGAGTCAAGTACAAACAGGGTCTGTTCCTACTGACATGATGTGATGGAAAATGTTACATGTTCTGTCTCCTTGAAAATCAACATTCCAGCTTCAGGAAACTGGTATTTATCACACTTCAGGCAAAACTCTCTTTGCTATAGGTAAACTGTCCATGGCACTCTCCCGGTTTTCTGACAGAGATGTTGTGCAGATGGGAAATACTGCGCAGCATTAGTACTTCTGCAACCTATGGAACAAGACAGTGGGATTCCTACTGTCTTGAAAATAGTCATAAACAGTGCTTTCCCACTTTATGACAGAAATGAGTGCACAAGTGTACATACAAAAAGAGAAACTGGTGAATATTAACTGAAATTATTTACAGTGTGTCACTCCAAATGACACGCTACTCCAAAAAGTTAAGGCTAGAACTTCTACATATTGGATTCCATGAAAATAGAAAGCAACACTCACTTTTTCATCTTATAGTACCCTTTCTTTACAGTACCAAAGTTGCCAGAGCCAAGTTCACCTTCCTCTAAAGTCAACAATTTCCTGTCGAGAGTGACATTTTTTGGTTTAATTTCATCTGGATCGGCGTATGGACTTTCATAGACCTCAGTATCCATGGGTAAGGCCTCTCTCTGATCACCTGCAGTTCAAACAATGAAAAAATTAGACATGATTTCAGACATTTTTGCTGCCACAGATAATATATTCATTTTTTCTACGTTCAAGACCATCAGTGTGTATGACTTGCAAGGGCATTATAAAGAAACCATATGCTGTCCATCTATATGCGTTTTAGAGCAGACCAAAAGACAGAGGTGTCCCCCTGGTGACATGCTGTAACTACTGAACATCTGTGCAGGGTGAAACCAGGAGGTTACTTGATAAAAGGCTGGCTAAAGGTTGGCCCTTCTCCATGGCAGTTCCCATGAGTTACCTCACACAGTTCTTCACTCAGAATGCTGCCTTATATGTACTTCATTCTCAGGCACCCAACTTTAACTGCATTATGGTTGGCACTGCGGATGCAACTGGGCACAATTATTTCTGAGACATGAGAGGATATAGTTTTTAGAGTCCAGGAAATAACAATCCACTTCAAAATGGAAAAAGGGATTTCTGCTAAATGATTTTTGTTATACATCGTGACAGCTGGTATCTTCAGCTACCTGGCTTCACTTATGATAGTGGTTATACCAATACATAACAGAATGTGAAATAGATGCAAGGAAAAATAAATAAGGATTGAGAAAGAGCTCTGCCATAAGGAAGAAAATTGCATTAATGATATATATTACTCTGCCTACCTCTTTCTGCTCCTGTAGGACCTCTGTTCCTTTGCAGCACATATGGATTAAAAGGTGCTTCTTCTGGTGGGTGGCCGATAGTTGACTGAAGCTGTAGCACACAAATAAAGTTTTTCTCTTTAACAATAAATAGGTAAGTTAAAAGCACCTTTTTTTCCCCCTAAGAATTTTGGTATAATGTTTGCAAGAGACACATAGGTGAGAATCAGAAAGCAAGGGATCCAAAAGCGGTTATTTCATTCTGAAGGTTATTAGAGCAGGCCAAAAGCACAGAAAGATCTTACAAATATTTCAGAACATTAGATAAGAGAGAATTAACTGTAGTGGGTCAGGCACAAATCTTATTCTGCAGATATTAAATTTACATGCTCTTTTCAAATTTGCCATGTAACACAAGCAGTTAGAAGGATTTCTCTTTAATCTGTCCTTCCTCCTTCTTCAAGTTATCTCTCCCCCTATCTGGGCCACAGAGAAATTGCTAGCACAAATGAAAACAAAAACCAATTTCCTGTTTCTCTTGTGGATATTACAGAGGAGCTATATTTTAAAGAAGTGGAAGCAACTGTAGTAAAAAGCTACTACTTTCATAGACTTCTGTAACATCAGGGACAAACATCATGGACCAGATACGAGGGGTACAGCCTGTTTGTCTGCTCTGAGGAGGGACAAAATTACTTAACTAAGCGTCTGGTTCAAATACAATTTCTCTGCCCTTATTCTTGACAGAGAAATAATATGGTGTACACAAACCATCTCACCCATTGTGTCTTCTGAAGCTCCTTGCCTGGCACTATAAAGCAGAGATGAGAGAAACACTACTAATCTGGTCACTTCTGTTTGTGAGCTGTTGGGAACATGCAACTACAGAATCTATTTCTGCACATTAGTTTTTTTCTCAAGCAAAGAGAAACAAAGCTCTAGTGGAACCTGTCCCTGACCATGGCAAAAGGATTATAATGAAATAACCTTTAAGGTCCTTTCCAACACAAACCATTCTATGATTCTGTGAAGTTTCCCATAGTGAACTATTAGATGCAATAGAAGTCTTATCATTTGGAAACAGCATTTAGTAGGGGAAACACCAGACCTGGGAACTACAGACGTTGAAATCATAATTAAGTTATCTGCCCAGCTGGATGAAATAGAAAAGGTTTCACTACACAGATTTTACTGCAATTCATGTGTAGGAATCTAGTTTTCAGCAATATTCTGGCCTAGTAGGATGAGTACATTGACATCAGGCACAGTAAGGGTAGTATTTCTGACCTGGAACAGTGTGAAAAGGCCATTTGCTGTCAAGGCAAGCCACAAAACCCCAAGACAGTTCTGGGATATGTCAAGGAACAAACTGATTGATCTACCATTCCCAAGGTAAATGAAAGTATAAACCAAGATCCTTAGCTCTAGTTTTGTTTTTCTAGACTGATTCACCCTGACAAGACCTGTGTCACTCTATTTCACACAGGCAATTCACTAACCCCAAACTCCCATTAAGACTGGAAGTCAACTGGCATACTTTGAACTGGTCAAATGTAATTAATGTACACCAAATTTTGCACACCTCAAGAATCCTTTCACCAGTAGAGAATTGCTGGTAAAAACATAGCTCTGGCCAAGATATAGCTGAGTTCTCAACTAGACATGTGATTTATGACTGTTCTTTGCAATTCAAGAATAACAACAACAACAAAAAATCCAAAAGGATTGAATGCTCTTGCTCTGCATAAAACCAAAAAAGTACATCACTTCCATGCTTACAAATAAAGCTCTGCAGCTGTGAACTGAAAATCACACAGTGACACCAGATATATCAAAGCTGATTTTCTTTCTCAGAGAGCTGCTCATGTTTAAGAATCATAGTGCCTTATTTATCATTACTTAGTTTGGTTAATGCATACAGAATTTCTAATTGCTGCAGATTGATTAAATAACAGTGATGCCTTTTACATTAATATTCCTACTTTCCTTTTTATTTAACTATCACTTAAATGCAGAGTCCTTTCTGCCCTACCCTTTTAAAACAGCAAGTATAATTCTGCAGATCTTTTTTGGACATAATACATGTAAGGTACAAGACAACTGATTACTTCTTGTATTCTTACAAGAAACAGAGAATGGGCAAGAGGACCAAGGATTTATTCAACCAATAAAAAGGAGTACAAGAAAACAGTCCTCTAGAGGAGCCTTTAAAAAATGTGACATATGAATGAAATGGCTCCAACTATTCTAAATCTGACTTTTACAGTGATGATTATAGTTTTATAGTAAATAGCATAATACGATTCGCATGAAGGCAAGTTGTACAGAAAGTGCAATATTCTTTCAGGGCAATAACTATGATTTGAAAAAATACATGAAGTAATCTTATTTTATTAAAATCTAATAGCTAAATACTGCATGACAAACATCTCATTAGCCATGAGAGGAGTTTTGCCTACGCCATCTCAGTTGCCACTAGGTGGCAGGATTTCACTTAAATTGTCCAAATTGCCAACTTTACACGAGTAAAACAGACTGAAAAATTTTCAACTGGATCTGAAAATGTAATACAAATAGTGCATTTTTAAAATTGAAAAAAAATTCCAGAAGTGAATAAATATAACATAACAAATAAAATAAATATGTTTTTTTCTGGTTTACTGTCTGAAAGCTTTTGACATAGTAGAAGTAATTGTGTAATTAACAAGGTTTAAACTGTGCTTATTGGGGTGAATGAATAGTTAAAATCTTTGAACAGTTCAAAGCACAACTTTTGTCTAGAGTCTAAAATCTGGCAGTATGATGTGGGGCTGAGTATTCCAGGTAAAGTACACGCAAATGGCAATCAAATTGGGTTTCTGAAATTATTTTCCTGAATGGTTTTACTCTGCCAATATGCTTCAGTCTCTACTCTGTGTATATTTTCCAGAAGTCAGGAAATAGGTATTTGACTGCAGAAAGTGACCAGAGCAAGACACAGGTTTTACCAGGTTAACAGACAGCAGTGTGACCAAAAATATGTCTACAGAGTTCAGACTCGACACCCATTTTTCTGAATCAACCCAAAATGTGTGACAGTTTGGCATTCTATTTCAGATGGCTGAGAGCAGGTCGTAAGACTCTGTCTGTATTCGTATATAACAAACACACATTGAAAAAGAGGTATGGGTCCTGTAGGGATACATAGCTGACAACAGCTGTTGGCACTTCAGCATAAAAGTGAACTGAAGCTGTAGGAAAACAATATTTGTTATTTATCAGGATTGTCAAATACAGTATATATAAAACATAGCTTTTCACTCTGAACAGTAGCATACCTCTAGGGCTTTTCAGGCCTGCTCATTTTTGTTGAAGAGCAAGTGGAAATAAATCAATAAACATACAGACTCATGGACCAAACAGGGGCATACATATAATTCTCAGCATGCAAACAAACTCACAACTACATGCTTCAGAACTACATCAATTACTGGACAGCACCATTTTCTGGCCATGCAAAAGCATTTTCATAGGACAGGGCAGGGCTCCCTTTGGCTCCCTGGCATCTGGCCAATTTTCCCATTCTGCTTGGTCTTGTGGCATCTTATGTTTGTCTAAATGTAAGTGAATGCATAAGAAGCTCTGTGCACATAGGTTATGTAAGTAAGTATATGTTGTTGTTGTTTTTATTGTTCACTAAATGTGTTCAGTAATAACATAATTGTGTAAGTAAGACAATTTTCTGATTACAAAGGAAAGTAGAAATATAATTTTGTTATATTATAACTGAGTGGTTTAGAAAAATATTTTATCACATTTCATTTGCAGAAATATTGAGATCTGCATTATTTTGGTATGCCAGAAATAAAATAAAAAAGAGACCCTCTATTTTTAAAACTCCTTTTCAAACCCATCGCTTCAGTTATAACATCGAGCTCATAATTATGCACATGATTAGGATAGATAGAGAAAGCTTACAATATCTTAACAATCTAATTGTTAGTAGTCAAGACAGCAAGCGAAAAGAGGGGGAGAAGAGTGAAATTAGTAATTTAAGTATTTTTAACTCAGTCAAAAACCTAAAAAAAGTATATGAGGCACCTTTTTGCTGCCAGGCTTTGGGAAGGTGTACGATTTGAGTCTTGAGATAATTCCACCTCCTGCCCAACTCTAGAAACCACAATGTCAAAGAGGAACAGTAAATGTGTCATGAAAATAGCTACAGATATTTCACAAAACAAAAAACACTCTAAAAGAACAAAACACTCCCAAACTTTCTGTTGCTTCTGCCTTCAAGTACACACATATGATGCATCAGAAAAATGCAGTACAGGAAATCTTAGTATTAAATTTTATTTCATCTATATTACTGTCAAACCATCCTGAACCTGTGGACATACCTTAAGGCAGTTTTTAAATTCAAATGCACTGCCCTTTGTCCAGATCTTTATTTACGGAGTACACTCTATGTTTCTCCTGCCTCTGTCACTGAACTTTAGTCCCCCTTCCCCAACCCCTGAACATATGCAGAGACAAATTGACAACTTTTGTGTCTGGAAATACTTCCTAATTGTAATGAACCTAATGTATCAAGAAAAATTTGAAGCACACCTTGGTCAAACAACAAACACTGTGGTTATTGAAGCAGAAAGCATGCTAAGTAATATTAATTTCAAACAAAAAGGAACAGGCTTTACATTGTAGACACATACTTATGTTCTGTGTAAGGATACCTTTAAAAGATATGCAAATATGTTTTACAAAAACACATTAACTTAATTAAATGTGACAAATTAGCATTTTTAGGGGTCACTGAAAGATCATACATGACTATTAAAAACTGAGATGGAGCACATACTGTTCAAACATTTAGTCTGATGCTGAAGCTAAAACAACAATCTAAGCCACATTTTCAGTCACTTTAAACAGCCTTTGAACTTAGATATTCAGAACTTTTTAATAGCCCACTTGGACTTCTTATTTTCTGAAAAGGTAACTTTTTCAGTTGCTAGGGTTGGTATATTCCCTAGTTTTCTTTTAAAATAAAATTTTTGATTTCACATTAGAAAGGTGTCTTTTGTTTCAAGACATCAAGGACAGCCCTGAGATGCTTCCGGAAGAACAGAAATCTTTTTGATGCTAGACATTCTTCATAGCTGTGATACATAAAAATTCAGTATACTGCATATTGAAAAAGGTTACTGAGTCAGCTATTTTCTTTTACTTCATGAAATTTTCTTTCCATATTGGGAATAAATGAAACCTGAAGTACTACTTAGTTGCAGTTTGAAAGCAGATAAATTCTCTAAGAGGTCAAGTGCTCTGTTGCACAAGCTAAGCATGGTTCTCATTATACTTTTTCAATGAGAGTATCTCCTAGCACTTGGGAAAGCAACCACCTGTAGTTAGGATAATATTGCTTAACTCACATATTTGTATTAGACCTATAAATGCATGTCGAAATGAGTAGCTCATCAAGCACAGCAACTAGTTAATTAGGCTCTACTCATAAAGTTTAGGTCTATTATTACCACCTAAAAGACTATGACTAAACAAAATACTGAGAAAGGTTAAGAGGAGAATTTGGGAAATGGCCAGAATTTGGCAATTTCACTATAATGTCATCAGCTTGAGAACTGAAATAAAGAATAATCTCAAAAGCTCCTCTGCTGGTTTAAATATATATTGAGATGAAATTGATTGCAAGGAGAAAAAAGTAATTTACAAAATGTAAAGGGTCAAAATCACCTTAAATCTAGGCATGGAGCCTCATTTGAAAGGCAAGAAATATCTCAGTCCATGCATGTTCTGGGAGAAGCAAGAACAAGCAACTCCCCATATTCTGCATGGAAAATTACCTTCAATACAGAAATTTAGCATAAAGTCCTTTCTTTTGCAGAGGAAGCATGTTAGTATGACTAAGAAGGAACTGTCCATGTTACATTAAATTTAAGCATTTTGTTACTCCAGATTTGCCTACAGAACAATAGCAAATATTAGACAAATCTGATGCAGATTCATGCCCCTGGTGTAAATTTTACTCCAAGCTCTTATAACCAACAGTATACAGATAATAATTGGACAATTTGCATATCATCCAGCAGTTGTTTCTACATTTCATGCAGCTTCTTAAATTCAACTTCACATTTGGGCATTCTATTCCACTAAGACTTTGGAATAGCATCACTTATTTTAGGCTGCAATAAACATAAACATAAACTAGATATATATCTATTAAAAATATTTATATATAAATGAAAAAGATACTGAAAAATTGGTCTGCATCCTGGGAGCACCAGTATTAGACTGTTGCTTAGAACTGGCCATTCTGATTTGTTCCTCTACTTTCTCTCCTTTACTTCTTTATTATAATCAATCCTTTCTCACAAGTCATGATCATCCCTGTTGTCTTGCTCTGGATTATCTCCTCCTGGAAAACATTCTTCCATGCAGTGCCAAAAACAGGTGAAAGTCTCTCAGCTGAGACCTTGCCAGAGTCGAACAAGCTGGAAACACATTGATGTTTCCCCTTCCTCTACCAGCATGGCGGCTGCTCATTCTTGTTCCCATCCTGATTCATCACAGGCATAACATCCTCTGAAAAGCTGTGTCTGCCCGCTTTTCTGTGATTTATATTTGACAATTAAAAGTGCAGTATCTTGTACTACTTTCTTCTGAGCCTCACCCTTTTTATTTTTTACAGGACATTTCCTTAATTCATCACAATTATTTTGATACCCAATTCAAAAATTCACTATTCCAATTTACATATTTTGGCAATGCTTTTCATAGATAAAAAACCCAATGCAGTATACTAGAATTGTCAGAAACTCCTAAATGTTAATTATCATGGTGTAAATAATATGAAGATAGATTGCACATCTTCCATATAAGATTCTGTTTGTATGTTGGTGACTGTACACCTTCTCTTCAAGCTGGCATAATTTTTGGTTTTGTGTAATCTGAATAATTGTATTTCAGGTATATTAAAAGTCTTCATGAGTCACTGCTTTTACACACAAGTATTAATGTGTGAGAACCTGGAAATATTAAGTGAAATTTTTGAGGTCCATAAGCAGTATTAGCTATTTACAATTTTCCATTTTCTATGTTTATAGTACAAGAAAGTAATTTAGCAGGCTCATTTTTAAAAAGTCCCAAAGAAAACACAAAACACAGATTTCAATTTTAAGAAATGCAAAATATCAAATATATTGAGAATTAAAACAATATTTTAGTACACTCTTTGCAAAATAGGCACTTTCACTTAGCTTTGGTGACTTTCTTTTTAGCTATCATGACATGCCTTAAGCAGTAGCAGTTAAATTTACACTTATATTGTGAATTTTTCTCTGTATATTATGACACATACACACTAAATATGCTTGCCCTATCTCTACAACTGCATGTATACCAGATGATACACATGTGGGTCTTGTAGGCTTAAACTTCATGGACATCCTTGCAAATGGCACAGATACAAACCTCAAGGCAGTATTTTTATATTTATTTTTTTCTAATTAAAAATATTATTAAGAATAAAGAAGTAATAAACTTTAAAATATTTGTAATTAAAAAGGGACTGATTTTTTTGCTTAATTTAAAATTCTTTATAAAGGTACCTGATGTTCAGAAGTGAAGGTATGAGAGTGGTTGTTCACAGGCCTGCTAGGAGTCAATTGTATTGAAATGGAAGTAGTCGCTTATTTGAATAAATTTCTTTTCTGTAATATGGGACTGCATCAAGATAATGATCTAAATTATTAAGTTATGCAGGGAAATTACTAAAATTCACTCCCTATTTCAGATGAAACCAACTACCTTGAACAAGACAGTATTACGTGATTCTGTGGATGCATCACACCTCAGATGGCTTCTGTATTCAATGGACTTTGAGAACTCAGGTAATTATAGTAACAGGGGGACTTGCTCACTCTTCATGGAGTGGATGAAAGAATCTCCCCTAAAGCAGTGCATAAGAAACGAAACCCTTGTGCAAAGTCTGATGTTAACTGCACAGACCAAATATGAAAATAAATTGAACTTCCATTTCTGCTTCAGATCAGCAGATTCTCAAAGTGAACAGCAATAAGCAATGTCGTATCTCTCCTCCTAGTGTTGCTGGTACAACATTATAGAATATGACTATCAATGAGGCACCTTGCCTATGTAAAATACTGTTTTATCACATATATGATATGTGTAAAAGAGGTTCACGAAATTAAATTATGATTAGTGCATTCAAAACACTGATGAAAGCAATACCATGATAGAATGTTAAGGTTCTTTTCAAATCACTGTTTATAACCCAAGAAAAATAAACTCACAGATGAAATAATACCCAAGAATTAGGATTCCCAGAACAGTATGTGACAGTAATCCTCCTCAAATGAATGCTATTGCTATACCACCATGTTCATTTACCTTAGGAAGTGTTCCAGAAGAAGGATGAGTATTAAAATCAAGATTATCTGCAAAAGAATCAAATGTAAAATGATACTACACAAAGTTTTACAGAGGGGACCAACTGTGAAGTTTTTAGATCCCATTACAATGTTTCTCTTGGACCATCTTTGCTTTTTGTCTCTTATATGCAGCAGACTCTGCTACTTTTGGCCACAGAGACAGAAGTAAGTGGAGAGCCTAAATGATTCAAAGGAGAATGAAAATAATGGTGGAAAAAAAGCATGCAGTCATTCAAATGAATGGAAAATGTAAAAACTTCAGGGTTGTTACTTGATGATCTTAATGTCTTTTCTAACCTAAATGGTTCTATGATTATATTTTATTATTCTATATCCTCTCACGATGGCACTGGCATCCAGTTAGAATGACAGAAGGTGACCTTACAGAGAGAATACTCGTTCTGGAAGAGCACAAGCTGGACATAGATCAGTCAGATCCATCTCTTTTCCCTCTTCAGTCAGGGAAAGAGGGAGGACAACATCTCTTCAGTGTGATATGACATTAAAGAAGAAACAGGATAAAAACCAACACTGTCATCCAACACTGATACTTTCTCCCACCTCTTCTCCTCCTTTCCCACAAGTTATCAAGGAATGGCTCTCTGAGCCCACTTTCAGTGTTGGGAGCAGCCAGTGCCTTGCTCTGCCCTGCTTCCCCCAACACAGGAACTCACTTGCTGGGCGCATGACTCATTCACTCATGATGAATTCCTGCAGCAGCACTGCTGCTGTGACTGCTTCAGCTTGGAGTAAGGACCACTGGAATAGTGCTGGGAAAAGCACTTTGTTCATGTTTGTGGTCCAAGTAACACACACTACCACTTTGGGCAGCAAAGCAATTTCTGATCTAACAATAATTTAGACCCAGCAGTAATTTCACTTGGTAGCCCTAAGCTACAGGATACTACCTCCATCATGCACAGTCTGGCAGATATTACCTCATTCGAAAACATGGAAAATCTGCACCCACCTATATGGGAAGTGGAAAAAATTCACACACATTTATCATAATTATGTCTTTTAACACATATAAAAATAACAGGAATAACTCACCATTTTCGGAGCCATGTTGTGGACAAGGAATGGTAAGAACCCTTAATAATCCATCTGGTTTGTATGAGTAATGCTCAACTAACTAGCAGAATGAGAGGGGAGGGAAAAAAAAGAAATAATGAGAGAAAAAGTTAAGAAAATATGAGGGTGGTATTAAATATATTAAATATACTGTCTCTTTAGAAATGTGTGCATATGTACAATAGCTGATCTATATTACATTAAATGACCTTGGAATACCACAATTCTTTACTGCACATGTTATTTGCTTTATATCTGTTTAGCAGGGGTGCATGTTTCTGAAGTAACCTTGTGAATAAATGTATAATGTGATGGGTCAGTACTTCCCCCCAGTTCTGCTATTAAACAGCTTTGTAACTCTGAGCAAATAACTTATTTTTATGTCTCTGAGTTCCCACTCTCCTTCTTTTCTTTTTTCTTTTTTTTTTCTTTTTAATTTTTGGGGATAATTACAGTGCAAGAATTGCCCTAATATGCAATGCTTTCTCTGGACCTCAGAATTACAATGGGATGTGCACAGTTAATAAATGTAGCACCAGTAGTTGTGACCATTTGTGCTCCTGGATTGTCCTCCCCACATCAGGTTTGTTACTGATATTTTCCATTTGGGTATAAAGGAGAAGGTCTGCGAGTGTAAGAGTTGCAGGCATGTTCACAGTTCACAAAAACTGTAAGATAGCAGAGCTGCTTTTAAATTTCTAGTGAGATCAGGAAAGAAACACAAAACCCCTAAGAATGAATATATGCAAGCAAAGATTCGTATTTTAGATCTGTGACTCACTTAACTCATTTTAATAGATTTTTAAGCAGGAGGACATAAGAGATTTCTGCAGGGATTTCAATTCCCTTAGTATTTTCAATTTACACAGTAATTTCACCAGTATTCAGTTTTAGTATCAACTATGGCATAGTCAGCTGTGGCTGTCTTCATTGTTTATTCTTTACCAAGATCCAGACATATTTGGGTGGTAAGCCTCAGCAAGTCACGCTTTAGCAGACTTGAAGGTAGAGAATTTCAAAGCTAAAGACTGCATTATGTGTGCAACACCTTAAACCATCCTCTTTTTGCCTGCTAGAATTCTGTTGCTGCTCTCATAAATTACATTAGCAAAAGACTAAACCAAGCATATCCATTATTGAAAATGGTTACTTGCAAATGTGAACGGATTTTCATTCTAGAGAATGTTCAGCTAATAATATAATAACTAATAAAAACCACAGTTTTGAACTCAGCCAGGCTGCAACATCATATTTAAAAATTATTGAACTCTCTACACTCACATAGCTTTCTACATCAACATATATTTTCTTCATATACAGAAACCACACAATGTTGGAACCATATCACAAATCACAAATAACCTGCCAAAATGTGTTGGTTTTAGCCAAAGATTATTGTCACAGGGCAAACTAAAACAACGTTGGTCAGTTGTATAGAAATGTGATGACAGATATCCACGTGACATAAATTTAACAGACCTGCCACAAGGTGTCAAATCTTTTTCCATCTGGTATGGAGAGTTTTCCTGTCTTATCTCTGTCAATACGATAGTGCAGTACTTTTCCATCATTCAGTAGGCACAGGGCATAGGAACCATTGCTATCCCTTTCTCGGATACTGTAGAAATAAGAAAGACTTTCAGGATTTACCAGGAATGAATATTCTTTTATATTTACCCTTTCCTTAAAGATTTTGAATTAAAACCAAAACAAAATCAGCACTGCAACTTCTGAAAACATTTTGTTAAGCCTTTCATTTATTTCTTAGTGTAATTAACTTTCAGGTTAATTGACTAAAGTTTCTTTTTTTTTCCTTCCAAAAAGGCAACAGATGAAAACAAAAAATCAATTATGTAAGACACTTTAAGGCAGCTCCAGAACACTGTACACTGCATAAAGCAGTCTTGGGGCAAATATGCATTTTAAAGGTTCTGCAGTACTGGTTTGCCTCTCTTTTATCTTTTATTTCAAAATAAAGAGATGACAGTAAGAACAGAAGATAAAATATTAAAAGAACATAATGTGAAATGGCAATTTTTTTGTGTTTGAAATAGCTTGCTGTGTGGCTGGGAATTTAAAGAAAATAATATATTTCTGTAATCATTAATTCTTATAATTTCAGGAAAGACATTAATGTTTTGTTGCAGATTTTACATAAAATTCCTATGAAACTTGACATGGTATTGAAGTGTACATATCTCATCTAAACTTCACCACGGAGAGACTGCCAAATGTAATATAAAAACTTTGTCTAAAATTCAGAGGTAGGATGATCTCCTTCCAGGAGACCTATGAGTGCCCTCTGAGACGCCTGTAAAGCATGACAGAGTTGTTATATGTGTACTCAAGGCTAGCTGACACTGAGACCAGCATATCCTGACTACTGGATGCAGAATAGATGGGAGTTTGTTACTACCTCCAACATAGTTGGTGCAACATTTCTGAGTTTGGAAGGCAGGCTTCTTCTTTCAGTCAGGCTCCCATGCTGACTGACAGCTGACAGTGTGACAGCAATAGAGTTAGAATAAAATTGACTGGCTTTTTTCTTTTTTAAATGAAAAGCTTAGATTCTGGAGCACTACAACATTTCTTGTTCTGGTGTGCACAGAAATATACGTTCTCTCTCTTGAATTTTTGAGCAGCCTTGAAAAAAATTATAGCAGTAAATTCTCACTAAGGTTTTAAGAACCTTTGCTGGTGCAACACTGGTATTTGCTGTTATATCTCAGGAGATTGCAGAGTCAAGTATTAAAGTATTCTCGTCAGCTGACTTTCTCAAGGTTGAAGTAAGAGTGTATTTTGCCTGAATTACTTATGTACCTTTTTCCTTCAAATAGAATGATTCTTGTTGCCTAAGATGTGAACAGGACACTGGCTAAAAGAAAAGGGAAGTAGGGTCAGGGTTTTTTTCCTGACACCAAAGTAGGTTGTGTAAGTCTCTAAAGCAAATTGAAACACATTGTGGTTTCTTCATGGCATATAGGTGTTTTCTCAGCATGCTGATTTCCTGTGCTGACTGACCAGTGAAGAGCAACAGGCTCTGCTACAATGAAGAGTGGCTTTTACTTAGTCTTCCTCTGACCTGCTCAAAGCAAATAAAGCTGAGAAAAATATTTTCAGAATAGAGGGCATTGTTTCTAAAACACAAACAAACGGCATTTCATTGTAATCAGGCTTCTGTTGAGAAGAGCACAAATAAGATTATAAAAACGCAATTGATTGTTTCTCAGTAACAAATATGTTTCACAGGAAGAAATGGAGGCTCCAATACAATTCAGTTCTACTGAAACTGGTTCTCATTTCCAAGACTTGTTACTCTCAGGAGAGGCACTGCAAACATTTCTTGATAGCACAGGCACCAATGGGAGGGGAGAGCCCTGATTTCTGAAGACTATGGCACAGACCCAAAAAGCTTCAGTGCAGGATTTAGGTGGAGTTCAGGTTTATAGGGCTGTAATTGCATTTCAGAGGTTTTCCTTCCCCTAACCAAACAGCTACACAACTCTGGAGCCATCTGCAGCTTACAGCCATGACAACTTCTGTCAGAGAGCTCCATCACTGCACATCCTGAAAACACCTCCATTCTAACACATGGTCAGTCAGGGTCCATGGGACCCTTTCTCTCTAAGGGTTATGGAGCAGGTGGGTTTTAAACTGCAGTCAGTCAACTCCAGCACAACCTAGATCCCTACAAAAGATAAAATCAGGAGGTACACAACCTGGGTCCCCACAAAACACAAAACCAGAAGATACTACCCTTTTTCTAAATATGTCTGAAAGGCAGAAGTATCAAGTGCATTGAATTGACAGCTTAAGTCTTAGTTTTGGCAAACTGAACCCTTACTGCGTGGCATGGATTGCCACAAGCCACGTTTTACAATTTCACTTTGGTTTTGCAGACTGTGGTAATAGCTGTCTAGGTTAGGCTAAGCCTCCAGAACTGCAGCTGGGTAACAGTATTCCATTCTATGTCAACAGCTGCTGTAAAAAATAGAATAAAAGACAAATGCTATTCAAACTTAAAGGTTATAACCTGAAACCTCTTTGAACAGACAGAAAAGTTTCACATCTTGATGGTACTGCCTGCATTACCTAGGGCCTTCACATCAAATCTGGGAGCTCTCCTCACATATGGAACTTTCCTTGTATGGAAAGTAACAAATTCTGGAATGTTAAGAAAAAGAAAAATCAAAATTCCAAATGCACTCTCTGCTTTAAAGGGCTCTGAAATGAAACACAATATTAACTGTTCTTCAATAGAAACTGCTAAATAAAAAGGCCTTAATTGAAAAATTTTGGCAAGAAAGGAAGCCAACAGTCAGGTATCACCTCGTCTTCCATTTCATGCTATTGCAGAGAATTGCAAATGTCCAGAAGAAAAACATAAAGATAATAAACACCTGCAAATAAACAACACTGTTGTTTCATCCACTGGATTCATCAGAACTATGAACAACTTCACTGAGAACAGATTTGAGTACATAGCTACATAGGTATATTACAGAAGTGCCAAGGTATCTAGATTTTTTTGTGACATACATTTTTAAAACAGCAGAATAAGGAATGTAGAAATTAAAATTGTACCTGATGCAATGCAGAGAATATTTAGGTATTGATTTTATATTTCACGCAATGCGTGTTTGAGTATTTTTTGTGATTTTGGGAGTGTAACCTAGACAGCAACCAATAACAATCTGGAGTGTTATTACATTCAGTGTAAATAGCTATTCATTCCTTCCTTTGGTATTTTCATTTGGAAGCAAAAAGAACAATGTCCCAATTTTTTCTGTTTCCATCTGAAAGCCCAAATGATGGCCCTCTTTCTAAAGAAAAATATCCCTGAGGGTCAAAGAAATAAATTGCTATCACAATATGCCTCATTGACTGTGTAGAAAAACAGAATTCACAGCATTCTACAGCGGAGAATTATGAAGAAAATAAACAAGCAAAATGCTTGCTTTAGGAATGGTGTGAAATTATTGTTGCTCCTGGATCCAAAGGCATACTAAATTTTATTCTTGGCATTGCTTTGCCTTCTCAGCAATTACAGCTTTGTTGGTGCCAGAGACATTGACATTCCCCACTGCTGATGGAGCTCCAGCCATTCCCTGTTTGTCTTGCCCTCTCTCTCCATGGCCATCTCTCTGGTAATGCTATTAACAACATGGCTACTCATTATCACTTCAAAGATCTCCTGCACATTGCATATGTTCCAAGCTTGCGAGTAATAAGTAATGAACTTGGCACAATCTGTAAAAGAATTATATAAAGGGCAAAGTGGATTAACTGCTGTCTTCATTTGCATCATTTCTTCTCCCCTGTTCGCTAACACATTCAAAGCTATTTCAGAAATGTCAGAACACTACAGATTTTGGGAGATATCTCAGTTTCACACTATTGCTATCTACAATAGATCCTAAAAATTCATTTCCTGGTGAGTCTGCTGCACAGTTATAAAATAATTTTGTGAGAAGGATTGCATCAAATTAGTCTACTTAGTCAACTTCACCATGGCACGAAAATACACCATGCTCCACCAAACCCCTAACAAACAGCTCTGCAGTAAAACTGCATCTGAAATAGGAGATCTTAGTACAGCTGTCTCAGTTAGGTCACAGCTTTTCTTCACACCTCAGACCCACTCTGCGGCTGAAGCACCCAGTGCAGAACCTGTCTTGAGAGGCCATAGCTCTGCCGTAGTGGTCTGCAAGTGGCACCCACCATGTACCTAACTGAAGATCAGTAAAGAGCTCTCCCAAAGAGTCATGGGCATCATCCAGGCTGCTGTGGAGAGGAAGACAGCACCTCCAGAAACACAGTTCAATGTCTGTGTATTATCATTTATCTTGAAAAGGTTTTATGGTCTTTTATAGCTTGTCTAAGCCTAGCAACTCCTTGGCACTTAAAAGAGGAATTTCATCATTAATTAATATCCCTGAATGAGGGTCACATTTAATAGAATTGTTTTCATCTTCTATAATGTCAACAATATCCAGACCCTTTTATGGATAGAAAGTTAACACTAATAGAATTATCTTAATAATGCTCTATATGGTCAAAAATGACCTAGCTCAGTATGCAGTCTGGTAGCAGCAAACTCCTAGAAGGCAGCAATATTACTGTAAATATATACTGCTACATATCCCAGAAACAAAAATCTTTGGTCAGACAAAAGACAATAAAACTGTTACAGACAACTGCACTTGAAATGTTGTTACTAGTACTAAGCATTGTGACATGTAAGAGACAGTTTAGTTTCTAGTTGTCATGGAATGCCATGATGTGGCATATTACTGTGGCTCATTATAATAGTCTAAACCAGTTTTGTCCTCTTTAATATTCTCATTGCTTACTGAAGATACTCATATGACACCAAAATAGTTTTATACTTTCCTTTTACACAACTGTTCATATTTTATGTGAACCAGATACAGTCATGAACACATGTAAAAAGTTTATATAGACTTAACTGCTAATTTGCAATGCCTTCACTCACAATTTCCCTAATACTGAATTTTTAAGTTTACCAGTATTTCTGAATATTCTTTATTCTCCTCCAACTCCGTAACTCCTGGTTTTGAATGCATATGCAAGATCACATGCTTGTATAACTTAAGTGGTCAATACTGATGGCAAGATATGCCAACCCTTGCCACACACCAGAGGCGTTTCTTATGTAAAACTACAGAGGAAACTAACTCTTCTGCTGTTTGCTCTTAGTGAAGTTATAATTTATTTTTCAACTCTTCCACATATGCATGCATGAACTCAGATAGATATCAACAATATTATAAATATTTAATGATGCATTATTAATAAAATACTATTGCAATATTAATAAAAGTATTACCAATATTAACAGTTTAATCTATTATCAAAGTTCCCTACCAGACAAAATGTAATAAACCCCAGAAGTTTGGTCAAGAACATTTACCCAGTATAGAATGTAAAAGTGTTAGCGTAAAGTGGGGCTTCAGACATAAAGTTCTCTATTTTCAGTTTCTTTTCAGATAATTTTAGAAATATTTTACTTCGGTTCCACTGCAATTTTTTCCCCCCAAAGTTTGTGCCTAGAGTGGCAATCTTACCTAAACATTCTTCACAGAAGAGGTAGAAAATACTTCCCATTTCATGTCATGGTTTCTGTGTTTAGTTCTGAAAACAAACTCTCTAGCATCCACATACAAACTTTATTGACTTTTAAGCAATGAAAAAAACTTTTAATAGATCTTTGAAAACTTCCTGGAAAAACATCCACATTTAGCTCAGAATTTTTCCTTGGATGCATTGTAGTGTTATTTTTATGGTGCTACTCCTGATATTTTGAACTGAAGTCAGGAATTTTTTTTACTATTTACATATTTAAACCATTAAAAATAATTATAGATTTGATAATCTTGTATTGCTGCACAGCAATGCTAAAGAAATCTACATGTTAGTTGTATTATTACACAGACTGCTGTATTGGATTTTGCTTTATGTCAGATGGATAGCAAATTTCTGGTGTAATGAAGTTTTGAGAGCCTTGTTAAAAATATTTATTTTTATATAATATAAAAATATTATATCCTTGTAAGATTTATTATTTTCTCCATAATAAACAATTTGATTTTTGTCACCTACAAGTATTCACTCATGGACTTGTTAAATAACCTCAGTTTACCTAATCTCTTCAATAATTTAGCTCCTCTCTTTGTTCCCATGTTCCAATTCCTACTTCAACAAGCAAACATCTCTTAGACTTACATGTCTGAAAGTTTTACTTTTCAGTCAGCTACCGGGCTTAATTATCTTGACCAGTGTTAGAAAAACACTAACTCACAGTCACAACTTCAAAGCCTTCAATCCACAGATGTACAGAATATTCTGGCAAGCACTGCTGCTGGGTAAGTAAAACTGTGATGTCTGTGCCTGAAATATAAAACAATGCACCACACTCACACTCAACAGTTTTGCTGCTTCTGCTTCAGTTAGCCAGAAATGAGTGGTTTATTTCTCAATACCTGCTGAGCAAGCCCATGTTAGGCAACCCACTGCTGAAAGCAATAAACCTCTCTACATTAGACAGTTCTTTCATTTGTGATGAGCCTCTAAGTGTGTGGGTCTGAGAGCTAGAATGGCTAGAATGGCTCAGCAATGTAGAATAACTGATTTCAACACAAATGAACAACACATTCTCTTGCTGCACTGGCTACTGAACTATGGGATAGGTTAAGTTCTCTCCCTGTGTCTTCCCTGAGACCATAGGAGCAAATGGCAGCTGAGTGGCTACTGCATTCTAAAATGGCCAGATAGGAAGTCTGTGCAAGAACAGTTAATACATCAGAGAGCATCCTACAGATGAAAAGCGAACAGTCTTGTCCTTAATAACAGATATCCAAGATCAACACACTAGCCAATTCATATTATTTAAGCTCCAATGGCAGTTGTCATGGTTTAAACAGAGCCTTAAAATTAGCATTTTCTCCTCTATGGGCTTCTTCTCCCAGTGTGAAAGTGGCCACCCAAGTTCCATCAAAACTATATAAATATGGATCCATTGAAATATCCAGTCCCATGGGAGAAGGTCTGAATGCTCCCCCACAACTGATTGCACACGTCACTGCAAAGAGTATCAGAAATGCCTCCTTGGTCATCTTTAAGGAACATAGGAAAATGCTGGGAAAATATTTCCAGTCAAAGCAGTAGGACTGCTCATAGAAGATTAAAAAGAGACTAGTGTTTATAATAGAGATTGAAAATGTCAAGTCTACAAGAAAATTTCACTCCCTTACTCCAAAACCTATCCCTGTTAATAATAAATGCTAGCTAGTGGATTCTTTTCTTTGAAGAAAAACTAGATTCCTTCCCCTGTGCACCCCCCCACCGCCCTTTCCCCAAAGAGAAGTACTTTGGCCACAAAGGAACCAATGTGTGCCTGAGGCAAACTGGAAAAGCTGCCAGTTTAAATACATGATCAACATCATGACTCAGCTGATACAAAGTTGGTTTGGTAAGGTGTTAAAATGGAAAGCAAAAAAGCAATATATTTTTAGGTATAAAACTGTCATTAAAAGAAAGGATTGCTTTTTCTTTCAATTACTTGACCTTCTGTCTAAAAAGTAGGAGAAGAAACTAACAAAATCACAGGGCAAGAAAAAGGAGAGGTTGTGTGATGATGTTGGGCTGGTAATTGGTAACAGCAGCTATGTTCATCAAATCCTCTGAACTCCTATGCAGCAGAAAGATATACATCTGGCTCCACAAATTTTTGTAAATTTTTAACAGTTGTTTTGTTTTTTTTTTTTACTACAAGTATGACAAAATCTGTGGCAAGCTTATTACAATGTTTTATTACACATGGCAGCCGAAGCAACTGGATAACGCCCCTCTGGATGTGGTCTGCACCAATAGGGAATATGAGGCTGAAAAGAGGCATGCATGGCTACTTGGGTGAGACTGGCTATGAAACACAAAAAACTCAAGTACTGAGGAAAGAAAAGAGAGTTCAAGAAATGAGATGTCACTACAGTCAAAGCATTTGTGGTTAAGACCTCATAGGAATTCACTCTACTGGGAATTGGATTTAAAGAAGTTACTGGTTCCTGTCTACTGAGACTGAAACACGGAAATATGCAAGGGTTGCACCCACATTAGCAATTAGTATGGCACAATAACAGAAAAACAGTAAAGTGAAAGAATTGGTACAGAAGAACCATATCGTTCTTGCAATCAGTTGTGGGGTTTCACTTTGGACTACCTCTAAAAAAAGCCAAGGGCTGAGTGCTAAAGAAAACTACACAGGTAGGTGATAAAATTTCCCTCAAAAATTACACAGTTCCAAGTGATCCTTACATGGCCTCGACTTTTAAGCCAAATTTTTCAAATTTTTATCATTATATAAATACTTTCTGGGTGGGGGTGGGAGTGACAAAAGACAGCTCTGTTAAAACACTGGTATTTTTCAAATGAGGATTCTCCAAACAAACCCCTGGCTCTAGTCCCTGATGGCTGTTAGTTACTATCCTAATGCCACATTTGTGCTCAGAAAACAAAAGATCATCAGGCTCGGTAAATGCAGAGGGTAAACACCAGACACAAAATAGTGGTGTCAAGGTAGAAGTGGTCATTTTATTGCTTAACTACAAAACACAGCACTACCACTGTCCCTTGGAGACATGACAGATACAGATCCCAACAGCTGCCAACACAGGGAGTTTGTCTCTAATTGTACCAGTTTAACAATCCTGTGTATTGGTTTCAAGTGGTCAGGCTTTGACAGTGGGGCTGCAAAGGCCAGGGGTTGCCCTGGGCTGGTCACAACAGGTGCCAGCAGGTCCTAGTGGACACCCCTGCAGATGTTCCAGGCTTTTGTTATAGTTTTCCATCTTTAGTTAAGTGAGGGACTTGAGGGCAGGAAGCATCATGTCATGTAAATGATGCTGAACTGGGTGTCCTCACTGTGGATGAACCATGCTTTAGGGCACAGTCTCATTTGAGATTTATTCAAAAGAGCTGTACAGTAACACTGGAGACAAACAGCAATACCACAGAAAAAGAAACTCACAGAAATTTTCCATTGTTTCTCGACCCGATGAGGATACGGTTTTCTGACTCCGCCCGAGAGATCCTCCCATGGAACCACGGCATCTTCTCATGGGCTGTAGTGGCAATCAGCTTCTCCAGCTGAGGCTTCTGACTAATGATAGCTTGTTCCAGAGCCTGCCCCTAGAGAACAGTAAAAACACGGTGAAACAGTCAAACTATCTTCTGCAATAAAAAGATGACAGGTAGACTCTCAGTCTTTTGGGACTGCTTTTGAGACATCCAAAATCTGCACATATTTGTTGTGTGTGAAGGCCTGGCTGCTATAAAGATTTTAAAACAGGAACTAACATATCACAAAACTAGGGTTCTCCCTCTACCTCTGAGAAAAAGAAGAAAAATTAACCAGTAAATAAAACCACTGATATATTAGTATTTAAGCTTAAAACAAAGTCATATTGTTATGGTAATGAGACACAGATAAATGAAGTTTGTGTCAGTCTGAGCTTTCAAACATACCCCCAAATTACATATCCTATGGCAGTGTACTAAAATAAACCAAATGTGCTTTGCACTGTTGCAGGATGTCTATGTCAAAGACATCAATGTAAATTTTCCCAGACAGAACAGTCCCCATTTTAGAATGAATTATTCAGAGTAATATCAACTTAGACATTTCTAACCTTGTCTACAATCTACCACTTCTAAATTGGGCTCAGAAACTGAGGGCAACCTCCACTAGTTTCACCAGCATTTAACCAGAGCTCATCAACTTCCCTCTATATTGAGCTCAGACTCATCAGAAAAGACACTGTGAACCTCAGCAGTCATAGAAAATGTTGTATAAGTTTCAGGTTTTCCCAGCTGGGGGTTGCTCCATATATTTTACAGAGCAGAATTCATAGGGTTACCTGCTAGCAGCAAAAGAGATCAGGAACCTTGAGTATCTTCATGAGTTCATAAAGGTAACTCATGACATCGCAAGGTGAAATAATACTCTCTTTGCAGCCTCCTACACTAGTGTTTCCATGTTAAGAATGGCTTCTTTATAGTCATTCCCAGGAAAAAATCCAACATCTGTTGCCACATGGAAAATTCCTGCTTGACCCCTGCAGCACTGAAGATGCAGTGCTCTGGAGTTTAGAAACTGCTCTCTTTCAGGAATAATTTCTGTTTTGGACATAAATTAGCATCACAGAAACAAGACCAACTAAGAGAGTAAGATGTAAAACAAGTCATCATGTCACCGTGCCTGCCTGCATATCAATCCATAACAAATCAGATTTAAAAGCAACGAGACAAACCATTTCTGTATATTGTTTATTACAGGTATTAATTTTTGGTCCAAATCTGATGGCATATATTAGTGCAGAGGTAGATAAGATTATGCTAGACCAGGACATCGTAGAAATTCTAAGGGCTTAAATTTCAGGAAAACTAGACTTATCACCAAGTTACTGCACGGACTGCGAAGAAAAAGCCCTCACTGTTAAATCTCAAACAGCTGTGATTTCATTGTGAAAAAATACTACCTAGCAGCAGCAACAGCTGGAAACAAACACTGCAATCTCTCTTCTCCTAGCTCAAAGATTACTTTAGGGCAGCATCAGTCTGGTTTTACCTGCAAATTCCAAGTCTGCTTGACATACTCTCTGATGAGGTTCTCTTTCAAATCTTCAAAGGGTCCTGTTTTGGGTTCTACGCCTGGCGGCCGGTTGAAAGGTTTTCTCAGTAGACAGACAAGGCCATCCGCTTCCCCTGAGTGATAGTTAATGAGTTCAGCAGGACTGGCATGCGACTTGCCTCCTGCAATAGCATAGGAGCCACTCAGCTCCCTCTCAATTGTATAGTGGTGAACCTTCCTTCCATGGGCCAAGGATAGGGCAAAGCCCCCCAGGTAATTCCGGCTTTGGCGGAGCAAGTATAGTCCATCATTTGCTCCTCCCTGCATCAGATACTCCTCGGCTTCTTCACGTGTGATGTTACCGAAGAAGTATGGCAAATGGTTAGCAGGGTTTGATGTGTTGGAAGCCATGGTTTTTTCTTTCCCAAGTAACAAACCTAGAATACTGTACTGAAAATACAAAGAGAGAGATATGAATGTCAGTAGGAAAAACAGGATAAACCAATAAGATGGCAGTTCATCTGTAGTATGCTTGCAGAATCACAGAATGATTTAAGCTGGCATAGACCTCTAAAATCACTGAGTCCAAACTTGAACCAATCACCACCTTGTCAGCAAAACCATGGCACTGAGTGCTCTGTCCACTTATTTTTTGAACACCTCCAGTTCAAAAAGACAGTGACTCCATCATCTCCCTCAGCACAGGATTCCACTGTTTAATAACCCCTTCTGTGAAAAAAATTCACCCAATGTCCTACCTGAAAATGTCCAGGGGGCATAGCTTGAGGTAATTTTAGTAAAACATTTATTGGTGATACGTATGTTGACAATTAAAAAAAAATATTTTAAAGTGAAGATCCCATTTTTTTGTATCTTGTTAGAAGTTGTTTGTCTAAATCCCATCAGCTCTCTTTTCCTGCTTCCCAGCACCTTGGCTAGAAGTGGACAAAGTGATCAGAAGTTCAGTTTCTCCTTCTATGGTTGTGAAGCACATAGGAGTTAAAATATGAGCCCTTCACAATAAAATGAAGCATCATTTCAGGGAAGTCATGCAGCAATCTGTGGAATCAGCATAAAGCAGTTCAGGCTGTAGGGAACAGTGTGCAACTGAGTTACATGAAGAAAAGTGAAGAAGACTTTATGGATAAGTATGTAAAAAGGGAGGGTCCATAATGCAAAGGTGTAACTGAGGAATGGGAGTCTTAATGTAGGGCCTTTTAGCACACAGCACTTCAGACTGACACCTTCCCTGGCAGTCCTGAAGCAGGCAGAGCTGTTTGTGCCTACTGCTTAATTCATATTTGACCCATCAGTGCTGACTTGCTGTCCCTTGTTCTCATATCAAAAAACAGTAGTGAAATACCTGTGTGTTATGCTGTGAATACGTAAAGGGTTGATGTGGGAAAGGAAAGAGGTAGAGGAACACAAAGTCAAAACAACAAGGCTCACACAGTGTAGAAAACTAGACAGGGCACAGTCATGTCAAACCACATGCTGTGCAGATCTTCCGGTCTTCTCCCACCATCCCAAATAAGGGAGATCTCAAAGTTGCAAAAATACTGCACCTATAAAACAGAGCTTTATGCAACATATTATTTATAACTCTTGTGATCTGCAACCAAAGTTACTGGTGTAAGTTCCCATACCAATCTAGTAACATAACTTTCGCTTGCTAATTGCAACAAAGAAAAGTTATAACTGAAGACACAGAAGGCAGTCTTTAGTCAGTCACCATTAAACATTTATTCTCTATGCAAAATGACCATTCTGACTTTGTACCACACAAAGCTTTCTTCAAATGGAATAGATTAATTCAGTAATTGATTGCAGAGCCAGGGGACTGCAGTCAATAATACAATGCCCATCTGGAGGCGAGTTAATAGTATTGTAACCCAGGGTCAGGACTGGGGTCAATGTTGTTTCATTGAGGTGGTGGACAGAGGGGAAAGCACAGCTTCAGCAAATTCACAAATGATACAAAATGGCACAGTGGCTAAACATCACAGGGCTGTGATTAAAGGGACCTGAAACGGCTAAGGAATTCAAATTAAAGTAATTTAATGAAGCTCAACAAAGGGGAACATCCGGTGGAGCAGACTTTGCCCCTTTTGGAGCATCTGCCTTCCTGGCTATGCGGTGTCTCACGCCCTTGTGATGTCACCATGGAAGGAAGGTCTGTGACCAGGATGTTTTCCAGCAGGGTCTGTCTATTGTCCAGGGTTTGTCCAGGGCCCCTACAGGTGCACACACAAGGCATGCAGGCTCCATCAGAACTCCTGGCTTGCTCTGCCAGCTTTGGCATAGGGGACAGCAGCAGACCTGGGCAATGCACAAGCACAGCCCCTGTCGGTGCTTCCCTTCCTCTCCCCAGCTGCACAGGAGGGTTTCACAGGAGCCTGTCCTGGGACAGTGCATTGATAAAAGGGAACACTCTCAGAAAATTCCTCTGTCTTCCCTAAGCACCTCCCCCAGGTACACTGTACTAAGCTGGCGGTGACTGGGGAAGGGTATGGGGGCCTAGCGTTGTAAATATACAAGTTCCTCTCCCAAGCCTTCCTGACATCTTGCCAGAGCCTGTCACTTGCAACATACATCTCAGCCGGAGCACTTGGGAGATGTGGAGGAGATCAGGGCTTTCCTCCTATTCTCCATCCCTGCCATCTCTCCCTGCCCTCCAGCGGGGTGCAGAGATAGGGGCACAGGCCAGCCGAGCCCCACATCTCACTGCCCCGTCCCAGGGCTCAGGTGCTGCTTTCAAGCCTTCAAGGAGAGCCAGCAGGAGGCTCTTTCACCATCTCCCCTCTCACACAGCCTTCTGATGCCTCCCTGACTTTTCTACTCCTAGCAAAAAACAAGTCCCATCAGTTTTTATGTCTGTCTTGGCAGGACATGGCATCAGGCACCTAGGAAGGCACGGGGGAGAACAACTCTGCTGCAAGGAACAGTGGCATGGGGCAGACATCCCAGGCAGGGCTGGAGTCAATCTCTTCCTACACCTGAGATGATGAGAGGAAAAGGCCTCCTGTAGTACAGAGGAGGCCTAAATTGAATACCAACAAATATTTCTTCACTGAGGAAGTTATCGAGTATTGGAACAGGTGCCCAGGGAAGTGTTTAAATCACCATCCCTGAAGGGATTTAAAGACCTACAGAATGGTGGTTAGGGACATGGTTTTGTAGTAGTGGATTGAGTAGTGATAGGTTTACAGTTGGACTTGATAATCTTAAAGACCTTTTCCAACCTAAATATTCCTATGACTCTTTGATTCAATTATTCTGAAAGTCATTACAAATAAGGATATTTTGAATGTTCTAGTTCCTGTTTCCTTCACTCGTGCTTACTTTCTTTCTTCACACACCCCACGTCATTTTTTTTTACTCCACTATCCACCACACATACTGGTGGTTAGGAGAGAAATATACATCATCCAATTTCTAGCAAAATGGTCCTGGAAGGCAGATTCCAAGTCTTCAATACCACTTTCAGGAAAGATGGAAGAAAACAGATTTACTACTAGGTTTTTAGTAAGGAAAGAATTTGGACGGATGACTGATTGACACTGGCTCTTCACCAGCAATGTACAACTTGGAGAAAAGGAAGAAATAATCTCATAACGTGTCTCATGCCAAGAATGGTACTGCACTGCAGTGCCTGCTCAAAACACCTCAGTAATACATACTGAACAAATATCAAGCAGAAAAATATCCCCATACTCGTCATCTGTAGAAATTTATTTTAATGAATGTATTTCATTAAAGTTGCCATACTTCTAGTTTCAGACTTAAAAAAGATAAAGAACTTTAGAATGAAAATAACAGCCAATAAGACAAAAGTAAGGTGGGGGACAGGGTTAGAGGGGATAAACGCATCATCCCCGACTACAAAAACCTTTATGGCTGCTGAAATTTAACTTCACTTTGACTAGGATGTGTTTCAGATCAGGCTACTCTCCAGAGTATTGTTTTGTCTCATATTAATCTCAGTATTTTCTACACAATCTTCAGGATGATTTGCCCAGAATAAAAGCTCTTAAAAGGAAATCCACTGGTTGTAATTTAGATGAAATGTCAGCGATGGCACTGGTGAGGGACTCTCTCTTAAATCTTCAGAATGAGAAGGCCTGCTATATAATAAGTTTCTAAAATATGAAGAATATTCCTCAGTTATAAAAAGAACAGCAGCAGGATTCTTGCGATCTCTAATATTTAACAAATTATTTATCTATATCTGTTTCAGAAAACAATGGCCTGATTTACTTTCACAGAATAGGTTACTGTTGGTAGATTTCAGGCCAGGTTTCTCTAACCCACTTGCTAATATGTGAAGAATATTTAAGGTTTAGCAATGGTAGGAAATGTTTGGACTGATGCAGTACCTCCTGGGCTTGCACAGAGGCAAATAATCACAAAAACCCCCTCTAGATAATGATTAAAAACTACTTTAAAATTTTCAAAAATATCTGAATTTGGGATGGCTGTTCTCTTTGTTTGGAATTTCAAAATCTTGTCTTCCTTTTGGGAGTGTAATACCCTTCTAGGATCAGTAATGGAATAGAAGAAAATGCTTGAATTCACAGTTTCCTCCTCCTGGAAGTTTTTCCAGGTGTACAAACAGTGCAGTGTTTTTCGAGCCAGTGTGGTTGCAAACGTGAGGCTGTAAAATGGAGATCAGCCCCCCCCTACAGCCGACTGTCAGGCTTTACCCTTGTAAGTGCTGAAGGAAGTGTGGCTGGCTTCCAAGAGAGAAGTTTGAGCATAACAGCCACAGAGGGGCCTAAGTGCAACTCTCCCCTTAGTTGTTAAATGTGACTTTTAAGGAAGCTACAAATGCATGCAAATATCAGGCTTATCCTATGTGAAAGAAAAAATATTGCACAAACACATAGGAAAATTAGGTACCCACTTCCCCTCAGGCAGCTTCCTCATCAACACTGCAGGGTACTCCTGACATAGCACAAGAGTTTAGTACCTCACACATTTTATGCATACTAGGAAGCAAAACATTCTCTCAAAACAGATGAGCAAAACTAAGGAAAACTCACCTGGAAGGTGTTATAAAAAATCTAGTACACTTAGCTTAATTCTATTTGATCTCGTATTTATACAAGGATAAAAGGAGAATAATTGCTATATTGAACAGTTTGCCTAGCAAAGAGTATAATATTGCCAAGGTACTGATATCCATTATAGCATTTAAAAAAAATACAAATAGGAATATGAATCTTTCTAAAAAGACCAAACAGTAGTGTGGTGGGAGACTTAGGGATTTCTGATTTATAAGTTTAGTCCTTCATAGGTAAGATGAGTAAAATGTGACAGAAGACCAAAAGCCATGGAGCAGTGAAATAAATGTTACAAAAAATTGTTCCTTATTTGAGCAGTTATTTTTTTACCTTTTCTTGTTTTTCAAGGTAGTATTCTGTGATCAGGGCATGAAAATAAAGAAGTAA